GCTAAACTCCCATGTCGTTCAAAAGACTGGGAAGTGCAAGAACGTTATTTGGAACAGCCCACATTTTGTGCAAAGTATTGTAGAGGCACCGACCGCCGCAAGGTCTGCACCTTATGTAGAGCAGTAGTCGAATGCGCATCATAGAAAGAACCGCCGGAACCTAGTACCGTCGCCGCTCAAAAGAGGGCGACGACAGCAACCGCTGCGGCGCCGTCACGCGCGATCAGGCACCGAAAAAGGAGGCACCACCCCTATCCGGGGGCTGGCCAGCGGACCCTCAGCCCCAGCGGGCTATAAAGCAGCGCCCCGGCGGGCAGAGGGCAGTTGTGCGCCTGCCAGCAGTATCAAGTGCATCAGTGAATTGTGAACAGTGTTGCCGGAACAGCAAACGTACGGACGCTCTCTCGGACAGATGCTTCGATGCTACGGCTACTAACTTTGGACATCTCCCTGGGCAACGGCGACTTTGGCATACACTGGTACATCTTCAGGAAAATTGTTGGATCTGGCTTGTATATGGTTATTCTGTACTGTGTGAGATCAGAATAAATCTATTTTTTAAGAAATTACGTTTTTTGGCCATAACATGTAGCTAGTTGCAACCTGGAGTAGATTTTATATTCAGCTGACTCTTAACATCTTTAATCGTACAGTAAAAATAATAAATAATAATAAGGCCTAAGGGGTGCGATGTGCCAGACAAAAACCTCTCGATCCCACCTCCATTCTCACCCTTTACGCTGGGAGCTCCATTAAGTTTGAAACCCTCTCCAAGGTTGCGGTAACCAGCCGCTTCGGCGGAGTGGTCCGGCGAACTGATGAGAGGAGGTCTTGATAGGGTTACGACAGAGTAACTGTGGAAAAGGTCTATCAGGATGGTCACCCAAGTGGACTTGGACCTAGAGAGGCGGTGGAAGAACCGCTGAAATGGTCAACAGCGGCTCTCTTAGCGATCAGCAGCTCTCTTAGTCTTACAACAGATACCTACGCGACTGCGAAGTAACACACTACCAGATACTCCATTCCATGGCGAGGAACAAGAAGAAGGAGGATTACTTGAAAGGGAATGTGTAGGTGAATATCAAGAAAGTTCAAATAGTAATGAACATCTCATTAATGTATTACATTGAAAGCTGCCAGACATACCGTATTATGTACTATGTAGAAATACCGTAATATGTGTCCCATTGCAGAAATAACCTCGTATATCTAAGTGCGAAGTTTTCCGCTGCTTGCAAAGAAATGAATTCCATAGTGGGAAATACATTACCGCAAATGATTTCGTTGGAAGAACTGTCAGACGCAGTGCACTGTGCCACTTTGGCAGCTGGCTCTGGTTAGGGCAGCAAAATTAGACAAGAAAATGGCAGAACATCCAAAGACTGTAGCTCTAAAAACGAATTCACTCCGATATGGAAGAAAATTATCATTTCCGATGTTAATAAATTCGGGAAGGAAATCAGACAACTGTCAGCGTACTTCGCAGAGAAACGAAAAGTACCTAAGAATGTGAGAAATGGGATACGATCAATTGTTAAAAGTATGAAGTAGCGAATGAACCTGAAAGATCTGGATATGAGGTTGAAAGATGAACAGAGAATGGCTGCACTCGGGTTGCACAGGGAATTCGGCGTTATGATGAAGCAGCAAACAGACTCCAACTACAATCAGCCTTCGAATAGCAATGAAGACCATCAAGGACAATTTCCGAGTAACGAATTCCTGATTCAGTATTGGACTGATATCTAGGTCATTTCAAAGCAACATGATGGAGCCTACTGGTCGCAGGGAGAAAGAGAAGCTTACCGTAACATCGACGAAATGTTTCCCTTTGAAATTTACCTTGCTGATATCAAAACGGCAATGCAGAAAACACAGAATTGGAAGTCGCCATGTCCGGATGGTATCCAAAATGTGTGGTAGAAGTATTTCATCGCCACGCACCTATGCCTGACTCGACTGTTCAGTGAAGCTTTGCGAGATCCAACTATATTCCCAAAGTACTTCTTGACAGGCAGAACGTATATGGTGCCCAAAACGGTCGAACACTATATAAAATTTTGACTTCCATAATCTCTTCGACAATATGTGGTCATTTAGTCGACCAGCATATTTTGGCTGCTGAACAGAATGGGTGTCGCAAGGTAAATATGGGATTCAAAGAATAATTAGTAATTGATAATTTAATTACACAGCAAGTAAGTAAGCACCAGCGCAATCTTTCTGTAGGCTGGATAGATTACAAAACGCGCGGTACCTCACCCAAGGCTTCTAAGAGTCCTCGACTTGTATAAAATTGATCGAAGACTGATCTTTTTTTAAGAACTGCATGTCAGAATAGAAACTCATTAGCAGATTAAGAACGGAACCTACTGTTACTTGACGGAAGATATTGCAAATCGTCGTGGAACCTCCCAAGGGGACAGCCTAAGCCCGCTATAGTTTTGTATAGCACTCACCCCTTTGAGCAGAATGCTCCGACAATCAGGATATGCGTACTTAGTTAAGAAAATTTCTGATGTTCGTATTTCACACCAGCTCTACATGGATGATCTCAATATATATATGCTTTTAATAGAGATCACTTACAAAACGAGATCAAACTTATCAACAGTTTCAACGATCCAGTTTGTACGGAGTTTGCAATTGACAAATGTGCTACCTTTCATGTTGTCCGTGGGCAAGTCCAAAATGGAGAACACAATGTGCAAATATTGGTGACACAATTATTAAAAATGTCGGCACTGAATTATGCCTACAATGTCGGCACTTACAAATATCTGGGAATGCTCATAGACGCTCTTGCGCGCCCACTACAAGGTGTGCAAGTGGGAGGTAACTGATATCCTTCCTCCCTCATAAAGCGGTCTTGGTCACGCGGGCTGTGCCCTCACATTTGCCAATGTTAAGCAATAAAAGGCGCACTTTCGGCACTTTTTCCTACCCTGCCCCTTAATATGTAATAACGGCTAGCGAACACAGTAGATCTGCTTCAAAGCATACCTAGAGCCACCATGCAGTCAGCACCGGCTGCCGATGTATACACGCGGGTAGTTGGGATTGACCCCTTGGACCAAGCTCCCCCATTCCCTTGGAACCACCTGTGCCCCCCCCCCCACCGGAGCTGACATTCCCTTTCAAGGCCAGTACACACAGCCTCACTCCTCGATTTTGGATTGGACGTGAGTGTCTTTTACTTTCCCCCGCAAGGCACCTTCCCTTCTCTTCAGTGCACATTCCTGTGCATATGACCGCGACTGATCCCATCTCCCCCTCCTATCACTCCTGAAAACCTCTGTCCGTCTATCTGCACACAGGCCACAGGCACACAGTCTACAGGCACACAGAACGGAAAAATAAGGCTTGGTATAAAACACCTAAGGGGAATCTAAAACCAACCCCCCATGCCAAAATCCACGCGCATGAGGGCACGCCCCCACTCTCGCCTCTCGAAAAGATGATGCGAAGTGGATGTGCGGAGCACTTTGGGTAAATTGCAATTGCCACGCTCCAAAGGCGCTGATGGCGCGACGCTCCCGACAATCCACCCACTCTGCCTGCCCTATCCTCGTCGCTTGGCACCACATCGGAAACTGCACTGCTGACTACGACGCCTCGGACACTAATGATGTTTGTCCGGACGCCCCCAGGCGTTATGCCTGTCACGGAAACATGTTTTCATTTTTCACTAGAGTTGTGAAGGGGACTTTTTTACCGCTCTCCGATTGGTCAGTGAAGACGGCGCGCGAAACGCAAGTGCCATCTGCTCCCTTGTACTCGTCAAGATACGTTCGAAACGTGGTACTGCGCTTGTGAGAACGACTATATAAAGATTTTATTGAGTTTTGTTGATATATAAATTAGTTTAGAACTGAATTTTCTAGTGTGAGATGTGAAATAAATGAAAGATCAGTGGCAATCCATTTTGTAAACATGGTAGCCAAAAGTGACATGAGGTATGGATATCAAATGAATTTTCTGATTTAACATGTTAATTCAATTACCGAACTTGAAAGATTTTTTCTCAAAATTAATACTGAATCAAACATAGTTATAACGTCATACAACGAGAAAAAATTATCAATGTTCACTTACAACCTCAAAAATACTATAATATGAGTAGTATTACTTCCTAACCTTACATCTTACGATGGTCCAATAAAAAGAATAAATTATAGTATTGACTATGAATCAGAGTACAGCAGCCGTGGGAATAAAAAACATCGAAAACAAGAATATGTAAATGCTATCAGATCAGGTACAAGGTAAAGAACAATAAATTGTAAGTTGAAATGATAAACGATTGATTGTAGATTAACAGACTGTAACCAAATGCTTTATGAGCGTTTATGAAAAGAAAATACAATTTGGTTGATAGTAGTGCCTACATGCCTTTTTTCACCAATAAGTTGAACTTAAACTAATCACATATAAGAGAGTAATAAAAATCATATGTATTTAGCTGATGGACACTTAGATAAAATGTTGTTTCTTTTTCTTTTGAAAGTATTTCCTCCTGTTTAGCATGTTTGCCTTACAGGGATTTTCAGAATTACAATTAATTGATATTAACAGTTGGTCACCCTCATGTAACTGTCCCTGAAGGTAGGTGCAAAACATTAACACAAGAGAAGACCACTTATGGACTCAATTAAAAATTAAAAGAGTTTATTTGTAATTTAACAATGAAAGGAATATATTTTATTTTGATATTAATATTTTAATAAAATATATTGATTAATTTTTTGAGTCTAAATCTATCTTTTAGAAATCTGATTTAATTCTACACGGAAAATTGTATGAATGGTCTATGTTAAATAATTTTGCAGGAAAATCATTCAGAGCTAAAAATTCTGATCATGAGAAATTGAAGCCGAGATTAAAAATTTACATGCTGATCACAAATATTTACTTCTCTTCTCAGCAAAAGTATTCTAATGTCTACTAAATGAACACAATTTTGAAAGAACAACCTCCTTTTTTTTTTTATTGTTTTGCAGTTATGTTACCCACAAGAAGTAGAAGTATTCTGTACACAAGTCAGGACACTGTCTTCTGGTAGTCAAATTCAAAAGTTCGATTGTTGCTACCAAAGGAGGAACATTCCTGCTGACCAGATCCTTTGAATAACGAGAATAGTATACATTGAATTTTTACAATATCCTAGTTTGAATGTTCGCTTTTTTGTGACAAGCATCACAATGTAGCTTCATGGAATAATTTTTATATTTTGAGTTATTTTGTTTGGAAATTTGATGTATTAATTGGTTCTTAATAAAATTTACAATAGTTTTTGTATTACACAAGATACACTATTTATACAATAAAATCTACAGTCAGATACAATTAAAACTAAAAAAGTATTGTAGCAGAAATGTTGATGTGTTTTCATCATGATATTGGGATTATCATTACAGATATAACTGTTTTTTTCACTCTTTGTTTGTGTATGTATTGTAGTTGGAATAACACTACAGATAATCACTTCCTCTTATTAAAATATGTAGCAAATTCATTTACACTGTCAGTTTTCTTCGTGCATATATCTGAATACTATGTTGCACTCCCAACCATTATATTCTGGAAATAATGAGACATCCTGTTTATAAAAAAAAATGTAGCACCGCTTTATGAATATTCTCTAACAAAATTTCATCCCTTTTCTTTCTGAATGCCAGACAACTGTGTTTTGGCAAGTTAACAGGGGCAACAGTAGCTACAATAGCAGTTGGTAGTAAGATGTTTAGTATTATAACTACAGAATGCATAAATTTGGAAATTAAGCACTTTAGAGAATCCAAACTAAACCCTCACATTTCAAATCAGAATGTATTTTATGTTTTTCTCACTACACTGATGCAATTACTTTATTGGTTTATTAATACGTGGTGATCCTATTTAAGTTTGTGTGACATGTCCAGCACTGTCATGACCCTGATTCGAGAGATACATTGGACCAGGATTGCAAAAAATTAAAATACTAATTTAAAAGCTTTGAATGAAACAAAACAAAATGTATAAAACATATCAATACCCTTTTGGCCATAAGAGTTAATAAAATACATAGATATATAACCAAAGTGTCTAATGTATAACATAGTAAGTAATGTATATTCAAAGTTTCACATTTCACCGGTCGCATGAAATAAACAGAACAGTTTATGGGGCAGTAATGTTTTAATGATCAATAGTTATTTAAAACTGTATGGGATAACTGATAATACACTTGAATATAAAAAAAAAGCCAATTTCATATTAGTTTTGATCGATCCTGTTGCAGAAACTGTTCTCTGTGTCATTTTATTTATTTCATTAATTGTTTATTATTTATGTATAAATAATAAATGTGGACCTGGATGGCTGAGGTGGCTAAAAACATGTACTGAGTCAGCGCTTCGGTTTGAAGGGACACGAGTTTGGGTCCCACTCTCATGGTTGTTTGCCCCTTGTCTCTCATATTGTGTTGTAGTGGAGGGTCTCGCATACTGCTGGCTCCAGATCAGAGGAGCCTGCAAGTTTGTTAGTGTCTAGTGTATGGTCAAATATGCATCCCAATGGAATGTAAAGGGTAACTGGCGCTCAGCTGCAACAAACATGAGCGGGGGTGGGGGTGGGGGGGAATGTATATGAAACTCAAAGGAACAGAGTATCACAAATGAGGAACCAAACGGTTTTTAAAAGAAGTGAAGAAGTATTAAGTAAAAGCCGAAAACTTGACGTTTGTTTTTCAAAACTCTAACAAAGAAGTTTGCTTCACAGCAGAAAAAAGGTTTGCTTTAATTTATGAAATAGATTTTTTTTATATCAAAAACTTGAAATATCGCAGTGTTTATTATCCTATTCTCATCATACATTATCTATGCTTTTTATTAATGAGAAAAGAACAATGTTACTGCTTGTTAACTTGTATTTTTGCATATTTTTGCTTTATTTATAAAATTATAGACATTTATTTTTTGGATAATATTATTCTGAGTAATTCGAGCAATTTGTCTTTATCTTCAGACATGTGTATTTCAGGTATCTAAATATTTTAAAATTGAAGATTTAGTAAAAAAGAAAACTGTCATTTAAATAAAGATGAATTAAAAGATAATAAGTTCAGCTTTCATTTAATAAATATCTTATTAGTTGTTCATATGATATTTATAATATTAATTATGCATTATCATTAGTTCTTATCATTCCAGCAAACAAATTAAAATTTAACCTAATACAAAAATTGTTGATTTAATTGGGTTTTTGTACAAAGCACAATAAAATTTTGAAAATTGAATTGTGTTCAATTGAGTTGAAGTTTATAAGATTCACTGTGCAGTGGTTTTATTAATTATTAACTAGTTTTGCAAGTCTGTTAACTCAATTAAAGAAACAATTTTTCAATTAGGTTCAATTTTAATTCTTTTGCTAGGATATTATAAGAATACCAAGAATACTTGCAAATTTATACAGAAAGAAACTTAAGATAATTATCTTTTGTAGTGAATGAGGTGGTAAATGTTGAACTTCTGGATGCACCATCTACAAGTAAAACAATAGATGACAATAATACAGAGAAACAGGAATATGTGGACTTCAATATTAACAAATTAAGTCATCCAGGAAAATGGCCTACAAACCTGAATAAAAAATTAAAAACATTTAATTGAAACAGAACCCTTTGGACAAGTTTAAATATGAATAATTATCAAAAGACGATTTGAGAAGTTTTTCAACTACTTTTTACAGAAGAAAAATCCAAATAGCCAACAAGTATCACAAGATTGGCTCACCCATTCTCCTTTAACAAATCATATTCTTTGTTATCCATGCAAAGTTTTTGCAAACAGAGATTCGCCACTAGCAAAACATGGATTTTTAAATTGGATTCATTTATCAACACCAGAGGTGTCCAACTTGCAAAGCCTCAAGGGCCACAACTATAATCTACAATATGGTTGAATCCCATATTTTCATTACTCAGGGATCTACACATGACCCTGTATTATTAATATTGGCAATTTGACTGGCTGCTCTGAAATGAGGGTGTGGGAGATGGAACCATGCGTGATATCAATCCATACCACAACGCAATGAAACACATTTCCGCATACATTTTTATTAGTATTATTGACACTACAGTTTCATAAATAGAGGAATGATTTCAATTGTTCAAAGAGCAAATCAATGTGTTTAATTTTTATTATACAACTTCAACAAACTAGCAGAAATGAGTAAATCAGAAACGTTAAAACATTGTATGAATCTAGAATTAAAACCTTAAGATGAAACTGATACAGATACTTCAAAAGATATAAAAACAATGCAACTTGCAGATGAACTAAATATAATCACAAAATTTCTCATATCAAAATCCACACCAACTGAAGTATTAGAATTTATATATCAAATTAAACTAACTGGGTCATTATCTAACATTACTATGATACTACAAATTTTCGTACTCATCTGAGAAAGATCGTTTTCAAAATTAAAAATTATTGAAAACGTCCTACAACCAATCATGTTAAAAGAAAGATTAGCAGATCTAGCAATGACATCTAACAAAAGTGAAATCTGCAGCAATATTGATTTAAAAGTATCATAAAAAAATTTGTCAGTTTACAAGTTTTGAAAAGCACCTTTGTACAATTTTATTTTTTAGACTTAGGATTATTGCATATTTTATATTGTACATAGATATTATTTAATAAATAATCTGTAATAACATTTTAATAAATACTATTTTAAACAATTTAACTTTTCTACCATTAAAACTATGTAATTCTAGTATTATTTTTGCAGCGGCAAAATTTACTTGCACCAGAGCAGCAAACCACTGTGTGACAGCCCTGGTCATGTCTTATTTAAAATAATAGGATGCTGTTTTTGACATCTTTAATTGTAATATATATGTATATATTCTGGCAAGAGTACTTGGCATTGGTGGCCTAAAAAAAACCTTAGTTGAAACCCTGTGCTGGAAAGGTAAAGAAAAAAATTAAATATTATAGAGTTTTTATAACAAAATTCACATATTGGTTGTTAACTAGTATCAAAATATTTCACGACATTACATCATGGAGTGTTTAATATTTTAACAACTATTATAAATATTTAATTTCACTCCCTCAATACTAAATTAAAAACTTTTTCTAGACCACAACAAAGGTAGATATGAACTACATATGAATCATAAGATTCAGTGATCAATTAGAACTCATGAGGTTGGCTGTTAATGATCTTATATTCTCCATTCCGATCCTCAACATAAGTTATCAACAAACAGGTGTTTGTTGTACATTATTCTGATCAATGTTTTTTAATATACTCTATTTTTAGTTGAGGAAAGTCATTAATTTTTATTAACACGTCAAAATATTAAATTATTATTTAAGAGTATTATCTGAAACATGAAATCAATAAAACCCAGAGTGATATTCTGTAAATATTATATTGCATTTTTCTGTATACAATAGGAAAGTAAGTATATTAAGTTCTAGAAAAAATGCATAGTTTAAAGTTAGGTTGTGTAAAATTATATAATATAATTAATAATTCATCTTTTTCTTGTGAGAAAATATACCAATTTTGAGATATAATCATACATAGAAGCTGCTTGGAGTTTAGTTTTAGTGCTTTTCACCCAGTGTTTTGGTTTGTCTATGCAAGATCTAATTAAAATGCAAAATAAAACAATTTTTAGCTCTCAGAATGATTTTCTCAGAATGATGAATGAAATGATTTAACATAGGCATATAAATACAATTTTCCTCACAAAATTAAATCCAGATTTCCCAAAGATAGATTTAGACCCCTCAAATTAAACAACATATTTAATTAAAATATTAATATCAAATTACAATATATTCATTTAATAGTTAAATTACAAATAATGTTTGATTTTTAATTGAGTCTATAAGTGCTCTTCTCTTTTGTTAATGTTTTGCACCTACCTTCAGGGACAATTAAGTGAGGGTGACCAACTATTAATGTCAATTAATTTTAATTCTGAAAATCCCCGAAAGACAAAACATGCTAAACCGGAGGAAATTAACTTAAAAGGGAAAGAAAGAAAGAAAAAAAATCAAGTGCCCATCAGCTAAATACATATGATTTTTATTATACTTTTATATGTGATTAACTT